CTTCCTTGTATAAGCCTTAGGAACAAGCTCGTATCTATGTACCTGGCAGAGATGTGAAAAAAAATCAGAATGGCAGCTACGATGATGTGACGGAAGATTTCCTCATTATTTTATGTGCTTCATGATCCAGAGCTAGGATTGTTTTCTTGTGGCTGCCATCTTAACTTTTTTTAAACCATATTTTGGGGATATCCCTGGAAGGTAGAAGAGACATTATGAAGAGATTGTGAAACTGACTAGAACAGATTATGGAATTGCCTAGACCTGATTCTGAACCCCATTGGGGATAAGGGCTTCAGCAATTAAATCCTGGTGGGGTGGTCAGACTACCTGTTTCAGGAGGACTTGAACAGGAGGCTCAAAGTGCTGGATCCATTATGGCCTTGTTTAGTTCGGAATAGCTCCCCAGGGCCATGCAGTGTGTGTCTCTTGTCAGCTACACCCTGACATGGGCTCTGTGGGTCTCACATTTTCTTTGCGTTGGCTTTCCTCACAGGAGCCAAGTGGATGGCACTTCTGCGGTGGCTCTCTGATTAACGAGAACTGGGTGGTGACAGCTGCCCATTGTGGGGTGACGTGAGTATCCATCTTCTTCCTTGCTGTGGGGAGATTATGTTGTTCCCCAAACTGGGTCTTAGCTTGGCGTCAAAGCCAATTAATCACACCAAACCCAAGGTATGGAAAAACAGACTTTTATTTTGGTACCAAAGATGAAAGTCACCCCGGCTTTGAATGCGAGGCCCTGTTTACAGTTTTATAGCAGTTTTTATCATCAAAGGTGAGTTTCATACACCCAACCCATCCCTTTTCCCTCCCCCTGATAATACACGCATAACATATAATATTGATTGGCTACCAGGATTGCAGCTCCCTAAAGCTTCTAGTTTCCTGTGCCAGCTATGTGGTTGTTACCATTTCTTGTAAATGAAGCGCAGCATCCTGGCTAAGTGGTTAAACCTGTGAATCTGTCTCACTTCATTGTCCCTGCACACCCCATTCCCCGCAGTTCCCCCCCCCTCGTTAGCAAACTTGTCTGCAAAACCTTCAGTGAGCAGAAGGGAAAAAAGCAGTTAAAGGAAAAGTTGTTTAAGAGTTTAAGAGTAAATGCTTCTTCTTATAATTCATCTTGCTCGCTCCCATGTCCATCACAACCACACCTGGGTCCTATCTCCACACAGGACCCTTCCTCTGATCCCCATTCTTTCATCTGATCCTTCAATTACAACAGGCAGTGGATCTTGTAGGGGAGATATCTGGGGCAATAATATACATGAGCTACTGTGGGAAGAAAAGTCAAGTTGTGTGGTGATCCCATCATCCACAGCCAGGCATCAGCATCTTAGAAGGACATTCAGTTCAGAGAAGGTTTTCCATTAAATCCAAACCGCTCCACCGCCTGAATGGGAAATCTTCTGAAAGACCCTCAGGGACTTCAGCCCTAATTTTATATTCCCTATTCTGGGAGCTTGAGGTCACCTACCCACTTCTGCAGGTTGATGCCAAGCCATGCTGTGCCCGTGCTTTCTTGATGCGTGCCCAGCATTCACTTTTTGTTGGCCTCCCACAGGACCAGCGATGTTGTGGTGCTTGGAGAATTTGACCGCAGCTCTCCTGAAGAGGACATACAGAGGCTGCCTGTTCAGGAGGTGGGTGAAGTCACCAGATGTCTTAGGCCCAGGACTCTTCAGTATCTTCATCAATGATTTAGAGGAGGGAATTGAAGGGGAACTCGTCTAAGTTGCAGAGGACACCAACTGGCAGGAGTAGCCAACACCCCAGAAGACAAACTCAAGATCCAAAAAGATCTTGACAAACTTGAACAATGGGCCCTATCCAAAAAAATGAGTTTCAATGTGGAGAAAAGCAAAGTTTTACACTTAGGCAAGAAAAACCAAATGAACAGGTACGGATTAGGCGAGACCTGGCTCAAAAACAGTAACTGCGAGAGGGACCTTGGAGTCCTAGTGGATGATCACTTAACCATGAGCCAGCCATGTGCGGCAGCAACCAAAAGAGCTAATACAATCCTGGGTTGTATAAACAGAGGCATAGAATCAAAATCACGTGAAAGATTAGTACCACTTTATAATATTTAGAATATTGCATCCGGTTTGGTCATCATGACACAAAAAAGATGCTGAGATCCTAGAAAGGATGCAGAGAAGAACAGCCAAGATGATTAGGGGACTAAAACATATGAAGAACGGTTGCAAGAAGAGATTACACAGTCACTTGTCCTGAATGGCATGGGGTCTCCTACTTGACCAGGTGGTTGGACTAGGAGACCCCCCCAAAGGTCCCTTCCAACTCTGTTATTCTATCTTCTGTTACTATAATTTTATACCACAAATAGTATTAGCATTCATAACTTTGATTTCCTGACCTGGAAATCAAAAGGCTGGCAAAGGGTGATGGGCAAACCTATAAGCAAAGATAAGTCAGGAGGGACATAATGATCTCCCAGACTTCCTCCACCTCACCATCTCCTTCTTTGCAGCCTTAACAGCTTCTCTCTTCTCCCACCAGTTCTTTATCCACCCTGACTGGGACTCCGCACAGCTCACCAACGACATCGCCCTCATCAAGCTGGCCACCCCTGCCAAGTTCACTGAGACAGTGTCTCCCGTGTGCCTGACCGATGCCACAGACTCCTTCAAGGGTGGAGACCTTTGTGTCACCACTGGCTGGGGCAAGACACGCTACAATGGTGGGTCTTGGCTATTGTACAACCTGAGGGAATAGGTGGCACCAGAGGGCCAAGGGAAGGGAAGAGGTGCAAATGAGACAGAGGAATAGAGGGGAGAAGAAGGAGGGGAGTGGTGAGGAGAGGGCAGTGGCAAATAAAAGAGAGGAGGGGAGGGGAGAGAAGAGGAGAGGTTTCTTCTAGCCAAAATCATCAACTCAACAATGAAGTTATTATTTTCTGCACAGCACTGGATTACAAAAATCCTGCCCTGGAAACATCACATTTGACATTCAGCTGAAGGGAAATAACAGAGGGAGGAAGCCGGGGAAACAGGAAGATAAGTGGCTTTCTCTCTTGTCACTACAGGCTGCAACAATAGGCCCAAGGTGTGTTGTTGTGTCTCCAGCATAATGCAAACAGGGATCTGGGGGAAGAGCCAAGAAAAACCTAACATAGTGCAGCTGATTAGCCTTCTGGGACAAGTTCTGAGCTTGGGGGAAGGCAGAGAGCAGCCAGAGATGGATCAGATCCTTTGCACCGGAAGCCTTCTGCCTGCTGATTTAATCTTTTCTCTTGCAGCTTTCGACACCCCGAGCAAGTTACAACAAACCGCCCTGCCTCTCCTGTCCAATGAGCAGTGCATGGAATTTTGGGGCAGCAAAATCACTGATTCCATGATTTGCGCGGGTGGGGCAGGCTCTTCTTCATGTATGGTGAGCTCCCCAACCCCAAATCTCCTCCATTTGCTTATCCCTGTTTTTTAGGATACTCTTACTGGGGTTGCAAAAATTTAAACCCCATCTACTTTAAGAAGCTGCTATATTTGGGCTTGGATAAAAAACTAGTTTCCTATTAAGTACCAAGTAGTTCAAGGAAATAGTAGAGCTGCTCTATTTGGTCTGTAATCCTCCAAATGTCCGCTAGAGGGCAGCAGAGGATTAGAGTTGTCCAGATGTGTTAAGATGTGTGGACTTGCAAGTTCCAGAATGCCCCAGTCTGCAGTCCAGGTATCTTAAAACTGATCTAGACCAGTAGTCCTCAACCTTTTCTTCAACAGGGCCCCCCCTTAAATACCTTTTGTGGCCATGGACCTACAAGACTTAACTCAAGATTTCAATCGTAAGGTTTCTTCAAGCCTTCATGGACCCCCTGTGACAACATCATGGCTCCCCCAGGGGGCTCTGCAGGCCACAGGTTGAGAACCACAATCTAGACAACCCTAATCCTTTGCTGCCCTCTAGTGGACCTTTGAAGGATTACAACCCAAATATTGTAGTTCTACTATTTCCTTTGACTTGGTACTTAATAGGAAACTGGTTTTTTAATCCAGGCCAGGGACTAAGGTTCACCCAACATTTTGTGGGGAGCCAGTCACACTGGGTAAGCTGGGATTTTCCATTTTTCCCAGGTTGAAGTTGGATGGCTTTAAAAAAAAACAGTCGTAACACACTTAGATGGATTAATCATTCACCCGAGTTTCTCAAGACATCGCATGATAAACTGCCAAAGAGGGCTGGTTTACACAAGCCACATAGAAACTAACCAGGTTTACACTAGACAAGCTTAGCGGGTGGCACAAATGCAGCCGTTAGATTTTTCATTAACTTGGTTCCTAAAGCGCAACCTGCTTTAAGCCCACATTTCAGCCAAACCTGGAATCTCCAGCCGCTGAATGGGAAAAATCGGGGCCAATCACACCCCTAAAACTCTGCCTGATAGAAAAAAGTGGGGTCTTCGGGGAACTCAAATAGTTTTTGTTTTTGGCATCCGCAGGGTGACTCTGGCGGACCGCTGGTGTGTCAGAATGGCAACATTTGGAAGCTGGTGGGCAGCGTTTCCTGGGGCAGCAGCTACTGCTCGGTCACCACGCCAGCTGTCTACGCTCGGGTCGCTGTCTTGCGTGACTGGCTGGAGAGCACCATGGCTAATAACTGAGCTGGCTGAACCTGGGAGAAGGAGAGGCGGCAATGAATGCATTAAAACTGTTTTTCCCTTGAGCCTCGTCCTTGTCTTGCTTATGGGCGGACCACCCAAGACAGAAGGATCTCTCTGGGGAAGGTGCGCTTCAATAAATCCTGAACGTAAACCGGCACAAAAATGGATGGCACTGTGCCGCACAAGAATGGGGCAGGGCTAGTGAGTATCATGCAAGCGCTAGCCTCACCCCATTTGGATCACATGCGTGCTCGTGGCCCCATGCACGTGCGCATGCATGCACACATGTAAAATGCTTCCCCCTCCCTTTCCTTCCAGTCAGCCAACCAAGAAAGGTTGGTGACCTCTCTTCTAGGGAACAAGAGAACACACATCATGGGCAATCTTGCACAATTTATTCAATAGTTCACATATCAGCACCACAATCGCAGCAAGGGGAATCTTTCCATCCCCACCGATACAGGGCAGAGGCACCTCTTCCAGTATCACACCTCAATCTGTTAAATTTCAACAAGACCGAGCGAGGCAGGTTGAAACCAGGTGGCTTGGTAGAGGGACCACGAATAGTCAGGTCACGAGAAGATCCCTTGGACCGTTCCTCTCTCCAGGCGTTCTCGGGGTTGAACTGGGCGATTGTCAAACGAATGGCTGCTTTCCATGCTGGCCTTTGGGATTTCAATCTTGTGAGAACTATACATAGTCCTGGCGAACAGGGAATTGCATTCAGTTATGCATTTTAAAAGGAACAGATTTGTAACTCATAATCAGCTGGAAAACAATGATTTTCTAACAATGGACAATGGGTTTCTTTCCACTGGACTTTCTACACTGAGAGAGGAACTTGGAATTTTTTTTAGCACAGCTGAAAGTCACAGGAAACTGAGCCACTCAAAAAACTCTGAATCTGAGCCAGAAGTAACATCAGAATTGCTCATTTTCAAGCAACTCCTGGTCCTCTAGCTTTGGCTGGATAGGCCCCTTCTCCGTAACTTTCTTTTATGCCCTGCAACAGGTCATTCTCAGACACCAAGAGAGGTAAACAGAAGACTTGACATTCTTAATGGAACCCTAGACAAACTGTCCCATTAGGTTGCCATGTGGCTGATGGTTCCTCATCCAAACAAAGAAACAGAATAACCATAATCGGGCAAAAAAGCAGGAGCAACTTCCAACTTCCTAACAAGATGGGAATCTGCAGAAAATCAGAAATCTCCCTTTCCTTCCCAGCAGACAAGTGGGTGGTGCTGTTGAATGGGGAAGGGAGTGAGGGATTGCCAGACTGACTGGGAAACTGTCACAGAAAGTTGAAAATGAAGATCATGTGACCACAGCAGCCGCAGACAGTAGCACTGGTGAAAGCAGCCACATCTTTCCCAGATTCCATTCCCTTGGGAGTCCTGGATTTTGGACATATTCTGTAAGTTAGCCCATTTCAGGTACCGTGGTTCAAAAATGGTTGTCTTATGATCTATCATTTCAACCAGTTAAAGATTATGTCAACAAGAGTTTTAGTAGTATACAGATTCTGCAAAAGCTTTTCAGTGCCCCGTGCTCTTGTGCATGGCTGAAGCAGTTTTCCTATGACGGAGCTGAATTTTTCCTTTCAGGAGAAGCACACAAAGGCCTCCTTTTCCTAAAGAAACCCATTCTGCAAGGTGCTAAAAAACGGTTGGCTTTGCTCCAGTACAGCCAAAAATCTTTTTTTTAAAAGTATTGCAAACACTTCAATTTGGGGGGGGGGGAGGCTGGTTTTACATCAAAGGTGTATGTGTGTGTGTTTTAAAGCCTGGATGAAACTGGGGAGAAAATGCTCTGAAACCTTGGCAGAAATGTCCAAGCACCAAGACTGCTGCCTTTGTCTTCTCCAAGCCAGGAAGGCCATGGAAAGAAGCTGCTAACCATCAATTATCAGCCCAGAAACCCTGAGGGGACACTCTACCTCCTCCCAATCACTCGGGCAAATTCAAACTGGGGGCAGACAGGTCAACAGCCACCACCTCTCTTTCACATTCACACATGCGCCATGGAGAAGACTCTCTCTTAGGTCCCAATAGACTGGATTGCAAGTTTCTTTATTTGATTTAAATACCGATCATTAGCCAAACAGTTCTGGAATCAAACAGGAAAATATAATTATTTGTCCCCTACAAAGGACGATGAGACTGTCTTCTTGGCTGCAGCAAGACTTGGGAGGGGGGGTCAGGGATCCACAACTGACATGGTCTGTGTCCACCAAGGAAGGAGTGCCTCCCCCCTCTTCCTCTAGGGCAGCACTTCAGCGGGCAGGTAAACCGGACAAAATATTTACAATCCATTCACTCATCCAGGAACTTCTCTGCTTCTTCACAGGGCAGCCAGTTGCCCCAAGACCATCCGGAATTGCTGAGTGCTGTTTGCCAGCTCGTGAACCCGCTCTACCATGTCTTTGGCAGCAGCCGGGGATGGGTACTGGAGGGCAGCCGTCTTGGTGCTGGCCACAATCTCCTTGAGCAGGTCGCAGAGAAGGTTGCTGTAATGGGTGACTTTCTGGCGGACCTCCTGCGCCTTGGCCTGGCGAGACAGGGTGTCCCCGATGAAGACCAACTTGTGGGCGCTCAGGATGACGAACTTGCTGTGTGCCACGAAGATCTTGGGCGGCTGGTTTGTGTTCACGGCAGTGAAGAAGGCGTCCACGGCGTTGGTCAACGTCGTGAGGTTGGCCTCACACTGTTCCAGGTAGAAGAGCAGCAGCTGCCGGTCGGAGGGGCCCAGGGCTGTGCTGCCCCCCCGCACGTGGGGGTAGTGTTGTGGGGGTGTCCAGTTGGACAGGTCGTTGTCAATAGGGCGGGTGACCTCCTGTTCCAGTCGCTCAAATTGCTTCAGCTGTGGGCAGAAGGGCAAAGCGTCAAGTTTTGAAGTACAGCTTTGCTGGTGTGAGGGGAGAGGTTTGGAACGCAGACATCAAAGATTAAGAAGCCAGGCCGTGAGACTTAAGGCCGTTACACCAGATGTCTGGCCAGACCTGGAGAAGCTTTCTCATAACAATATTTTTCTACTTGATTGGGCAACGTGACCTGACCCAGAGAGAGGAGGGAGAATTCAATGCTTTTACTATGTGGGTTTGGGAGAGGTCTGGCCAGAGCTGGTTTTTGCTTTCATTAGTACTGCAGTGATGCACTCAATAAAGTTTTACATTAAGAGATTGGAGCGTCTTGAAGATGTTTGCTTGGTTGGGTTTGTCAGTTGGAATCTTGTCACAAAGATGAAAACCAACCTGGGCTGACTGCAGGCCTAAAGGAACATCAGTCCCCCCCCCCTCCACTCCCTGGCTGTAAAAGCTGCAATTATTGCTCCATTCAGAAGTTAAGTTGATCCTTGTGATCCTTGTGCATGTGGTATTTTAACTGACCTCAGCTAGCAGAGGTTAGAAAGGCAGGAGATGCCATAACTGATGATAATTATAAAACTGCCAATTGATAAAATCACAAAGTGACATGAGGATTCCTGCTGGCTGATCAAACACGTTTCTCACACATTTAAAGAAGGCTACACAACAATCCCCCACTTATTGTTCTGGAAATAGGTCAAACTCTTACATAAATACAGGTAGTCCCCGACTTACAAGCACAACCCAGTCACTGCAGTCGTAAATTGAGGCACCACACCACCGGACTAGGTTTTACAACCGCTCCAACCAATCGTAAATGTGAGTCAGTTGTCGAGCAAACAAAATGTGATAATGGGACTTTAGTGGGGTGGGCAGCCACTGTGAATTTGGGGATGGGCCATCAGTGGCCCTTTTTGAAATCCGTTGTAATTTTGAACGGTCGTTAAATGACCAGTCATAAGTTCAGGACTACTTGTTGAGAAAGAATGGCAACAGAAGTAACACAAATCATATTTTTTTGTCTCGTCACAAAACATGCAAAGACTTAACGGGATGGTTGTGAGTTACAGGAGATGGCCGTAAACTTGAGGTGTATGTGTGTGTTGTGAGGGGGGGGGGAAGGAAAGAGAGAGGGAAGGGGGGAGGAGAAAGGATGAGGGAGAGGAAGAGAGAGAGAGAAGGAGAAAGAGGGAGAGGGAGAGAGAGGAGAAGAGTGCCTTTTTCCCATAGACCTGCTGCTGCTCCAGCTGTCCTTTGCCTTGTCGCATGATGTTGCCTCGTTCCAGCAGCTCTTTCTGGGTCTTCTCAAACTCCTCTTTCCCCTAATTGAGACACAAGGAAAATGGAAGGTACCTCCACAGCAGACCTGGGCATTTTACAGCCCACCCCCTGGGACACTTCTGTGGGTGCACTTCCAAATGTGTGAGGTGGACAAGTCCTCCTTCCCCCCCCCCCTGGACTGGCCCTTCCGGCCCTCCTGCCCCAAGACCAGGCCCACCTGCAGGTGCACGTAGTCATAATCTTCCAGCCAGCCACCCTCGCTGTTCTCGTACTGCCCGTCGGGCGAGTCCTGGGCCAGGAACTTGGGCGGAGAAGGCAAGGGCCGTGACTGAATGTTGCTTGCCTTCTCGGAGGGTGTGCCGTGGGGATGGCTGCCCTCCACGGAGGAGGCCGGGGACCCCCTGGTCCGTCTGAAGAGCAACGAGGCATTGCCGTGCAGGAAGGAGGCCAGCTGCTTGGTGTCGTCAGGCACCCCCCGTGAGTACATGACCAGGTGCTCGAGGTCGTCCGGAGCCCCTGGCTTGCTGGCCACGAGGGCGCTGGGGGCCCAGCCGCAACTCTCCAAGGCCTGGCTGTGCCGTAGTAGCGCCTGGTACACCTCCTCCATCTTCTGCACCTGCTTGCTGAGCTTGGAATGGAGGGAGCGATCGGAGGCCTGGGCGGCGCTGCCCACCACCCCACGAGCAAATTCCAGCAGTTCCCTGAGGGCCCCCTTGATGCTCTCAGCTGCCCCCCGGATGTGGCCTGAGTGGGCCTCCATCCTCTCAGGGCTGCGCCAGCTGCCGCTGATGAAAGACATGAGAGACGAGACAGCTGTGTTGACGCTGCTCTGGAGCCGGGCCAGCGTCTCCATCGCAACGTCCTGGTCGAGGGGCAACTCCTTGTCCAGAGCTTCCCGAACGGGCACCGTGTCCAGAGAAGAGTTGGAAAGGTTGCTGCGGGTGCTGCCCGTGCTGGAGGCTGAAAGCCGCTTGCCGTCAACCCGATCCGTCTGAGGGGGCACGTCGTAGATGTAGTCCCCTTCTCCGTCCTTACTGCTGATCGGCAGCTCTCGGGGCACGTCGTACACCTCCTGGTTGGCCAGTTTTCTCAGCCCTGGTGGGACATCGTAGATCTCCTGAGCTTCTGACATCCCTTTAGTGCTGGGTGGAGGCACATCGTAGACATCTTCGGGCAAGGAAGGCTCCACCAGGGGTGCCAGAGGCTGGGCCAGGATGAGCGGATGACGCGATGGGTCGAAGGGCTTCACTTTGCAGAAGGCAGGGGGCACGTCGTAGGTCTCCTCCCTCAGGGGGCCATCTGGGACATCCTTGCTGACCGAGGGAGGGATGTCGTACACCTGCAGAGATAAATCAACTGTTCCAATTCTATACAGATAGTCCTCCACATATAACCGTAATGGAGCCTGCCCATTACGGTCATAAGATGTAATGGTTGTAAAATCAGGCATGTAATCAACCAGATTATACAATATTTTTTGCAGCAGTCGTAACAGTGGCCGTGTTGCAAATTGCCCGAAGTTAAGTGATACGACAGGCAGGGGCCTGACCTACAGAACTTTCAATCCACATCATAAATCGCCCAAAGTGGGTCTGTCATAACTCTGACCAAATAATCAGTGTTGACTACCTGTACTCTCACCCTCGTTACTTTCTTCATCTCACCTTGTCCTCATGAAACAGGACCAGGGAGAAAATGAAATGTGGTAGAAATACTTCCAAGAAACTTTTTCCCCCCCAAAAGACCAGATTCTTGGATTAAGTCGATTTACAACCACAATGTCTGTTGCTAAGCCAGACAGTTGCTAAGTGAGTTTTGCCCCATTTAACGACCTTTCTTGCTACAGTTGCTGAGTGAATCGCTGCCGTTGGTAAGTTAGTAACCCAGTTGCTAAGTGAATCTGGCTTCCCCATTGACTTGGCTTGTCAGGAGGTCACAAAAGGGGGGGTCACGTGACCGTCATAAATATGGTGCAAAGTTGTAACTGTGGAAAACAGCCATAAGTCACATTTTTCAGTGCCACTGTAACGTTGAGGGTCACTAAACGAACTGATGTAAATCGAAGACTGCCTGTCCTTGTTTACCCTTGTGCAGGGGTAGGCCACCTTGGCTCTTTTAGGACTCGTGGACTTCAACTCCCAGAATTTCTGAGCCGGCATGGCTCAGCTTGAAAACCATTCCCTTTCCCCTCAGCATGGCTGGCTCGGGAATTCTGGGAGTTGAAGTCCACAGGTCATCAAAGAGGCAAGGTTGCCTTACCCCTGGCCTTGTGCTTCTGTGTAACACCTGGTCCTGAGGTTTACTTTCCAGGTGTGATGGCCTGTGGGAAGGACCTTGGGAGGCTGGAACAAGGGAGGCTAGAATGACAGATAAGGGACTGCGTAGCCCACAGCAGGATAAGGAGCAGAGCAAATTCTAATTTCATGACTTGCTTGGTCAGGGTTGTCAAACAAACCGCAACAGGGTTAAAATGAAACATGTGATCATTAAGCAAACAGTTAGCAGTTGAGAAACCCAGAGCTACAGATACTTGGGACTCTGTGATTAAGGAACTGTAATGTTGATTTTATTTTTCCTTTCGGATTACATTTAGAAACCAATTGTCAGTTTTGCTTTGCCTCAAGGACTTGAATGTAAAACAAAGGGCAGGGAAGTTAATGATTATTTTATTACCTTGGAGAACAAGGGTGTGACTGTGTGTGTGTGTGTGTGTGTGTGTGTGTGTGTGTGTGTGTGTGTGTGTGTGTGTCCCCTCCAGGCACAGAATGTGCAGAAACACTGACTCCTGCTGGCAAGGAAGGTGTCAGCCGAAGGAGCAAATGGCAACATGCCCAGTTCTAACAATTCACAATCTGATTTTAATGAGGCATCTCCAGTGGGGGGGGGGGGATTCGAAGGACCCATAAATATCAGGATTAATAAAAACTAGCAACGCTGAACGTTTCTCCTCCTCCAGTTTAGGCAGTCAAGATATGATCCTTCGGCAACTCGGGCTGAATTTTGCAATTTTGTTCTGTGACTTAGGACTCACCATTTGGGATCAGGATTTCTGCTCCTGATCAAAATGTGGACGCTTAGCAACCGAGGAAGCAGACTCACTTAAACAACCATGTTACTAACTCAACAACTGCCGTGATTCACTTAACAACTGTGGCAAGAAAGCTGGTAAAGTGAGGCCAAATTCACTGAACAAATGTTCACTTAGGAACAGAACTTTTGAGCTCAATGGTGGCTGGAATTTACTTGCCTATAAAAGACAGGCAGAAGCTGCTCTTATTCACAGCTGTTTCCTGTGGCAAGGAAGGTTGGAAAATGGGGCAAACTCACTGAACAAACCATCTTTCTTAGCCACAGAAAGTTTCAAAAAATTCAATTGTGGTCGTACGTTGAGGACCACCTGCACGCAGGAGAGCTTTCCTCACCATACGCCTAAGGCAAACCCCCAGAGGAGCCACCAGGGCTAAATCCCAGCCTCGCCCCAAAGTCCAGATGTAACTTCCCGGGGGGGTCTTCCACTGGCTCAACCCCAGTGCCCCTTCTCCAGACCCCTTCCAGCTAACTAAACCACGACTTCCACCCCAATCCAGAGCAGTCCTGGCTGCCCACTCACCACTTGCGGGTTCTTCTCCACACTGGGCGGCACATCGTAGATTTCATGGGCTCCACTGTTGGCAGTCTTGCCCACCATCGCAGGGCTGTCGTAGACCTGGTCGAAGGACAGGTGGTGAAGCGGCTTTCAGGGCATTAACCAAACTCCCTCCCTGCTTTTCTCCCATCTGCACATCGGCCTGCACATCTCGCCTCAGGAGTCTGAGCGGTTGCAGGCCTCGTGGGCAGCTTCTGGCTTCCCCACCCCCCCCTTTCTTTGATCAAAGAGCCCTGGTGGCCCAGTGGTCAGAATGCAGCATTGCAGGCTAACTCTGCCCACTGCCAGCAGTTCAATCCTGACCGGTTCAAGATTGACTCAGCCTTCCATCCTTCCGATAAGCAAAGCCAATGGGGAAACCAGATTCACTTAACAACCATGTTACCACGTTTGCTGTGACAATGAGGGTCGTAAAATGGGGCAAAACTCACTTAACAAATATGTCACATAACAACAAAAACTGGGGGCTCAGCTGTGGTCGTAACTCAGGGACTACCTGTGTAAGTCCTTAAATCCCCACCTTCCCTGCTGCTATTGCCAAGCAGGCAAGAAACTGGCAGAGCCACGTCGATGGGGAGACGGGAGGCGTATACATGTAACCAATAAATAAGCAAAATTCAAGTGATCTTTAAAGAACCCGTAGACATCCCAAGCCCAGTTTGACAAGTCTTGGGCGAGGAGCGTAAAAGCGGGGTCTCTCCCCACCACTCTCCCCCCCCCCGCTGCCCCCTTTGCCCCAAGAGACAAAACCGGCACACTCACTTCCTGGCCGCTCCGGTTGACCATCAGACCCCGTGTGGGGGGCACGTCGTAGATCTCCTGGAGCTGTCGGGGGACGTCATACTCATCCTGGTGCTCTCCTTTGGGGGACTCGTAAATGTAGACCTGCCCCACCCGTGTGGGGACCACCACCTGGTGAGGAAGGGAGAGGATGCTCCAGAGCCTCTGCTGTGTTCCAGCCTATGCTAGGGGCCTGGAGGCTCAGACATTCGAAGAACGGTTGCTGGAATTGGGTACCTCTAGTTTAATGAAGAGAAGGACGAGGGGAGATATGATAGCACCCTTCCAGTATCTCAAGGGCTGCCCCAAAGAAGAGGGAGTCAAGCTATTCTCCAAAGCGCCTGAAGGCAGGACAAGAAGCAACAGATGGAAACTAAGCAAGGAGAGAAGCAACCTGGAACTAAGGAGAAATTTCCTGACAGAACAATTAACCAGTGGAACCACCTGCTCCAGAGGCTGTGAATGCTCCAACACTGGAAGTTTTTAAGAAGAGACTGGACAGCCATTTGTCCGAAATGGTGTAGGGTTTCCTGCCTGAGCAGGGGGTTGGACTAGAAGAGCTCCAAGGTTCTGTTCTGTTCTGTTCTGTTCTGTTCTATTCTATTCTATTCTGTTCTGTTCTATTCTATTCTATTCTATTCTATTCTATTCTATTCTATCCTATCCTATCCTATCCTATATCCCATCCCATCCCATCCTATTCTGTTCTTCTATTCTGCTAGTCTTTCCTGCCTTTCACAGGGAGGATTCAACCTGGCTCTTCTTGAGCCCAACCGAGTCAGCAGAGGACGCACGATTCTGCAACCCAACACTACAGGACGGTCTTTCCCAGCTGCAGGAACTGGAGTGGGCAATCCACGCAAGGATCCCTCTTTAAAAATGGCCTGCAACACACACACACCCCAGCACACCAGGTGCAGCCAAGGCTTCCTCCAGGAGAGGGCACTGACCACCCGCCAGGCGCTCCTGGCGAAGCTTGCAAAGTCTGGCGCTTGCAGCAAGAGCCCCCTCCCCTGGGAAGAGGGGAGTGACATCACTTTCTATTTTTAGAGAGGAGCAACTGAGGGGCTTAGAGCCGATGCACAATGAGGGCTGTTTCCCTCCTGGGTGAAAGGAGAGACCCTGGAGCCAGGAGCAGCCTTCCCAGCTGTTGTTTGTTTGCAGAGAAACCACACACACACACACACACACACACACACACACAGACAGAAAGACAGACATACCAGCCACTGCAACCCAGACAGCACGCAGAGGCTAGGCAAGCTACACTGGAGAATTGTGTGCTCTCCAGCTGCAGTCGCACTCGATCTAGGCAAACTCAGAACCACACCTGAGGGATTCCATGGCAAAGTCAGCTTCAACAAAAAAACAGAGTTTGACAACTGCAAACGTCCTTGGATGTCAGTTAAGAGAGCTTGGATCCTGAAACCACACCTGGCACCGTTTCAGTTAACTCTCCAGCACTAATTCATTTGCAATCCTTGGAATCTATTGTCTGTCTGTCTGTCTGATATCTCTCTCATCTCTTTCTCTGTCTCTGTCTCTGTCTCTTTCTCTGTCTCTCTCTCTCTCTCTCTCTCTCTCTCTCTCTCTCCCTGCCTCTTTCTCCCTCTCTCTCTCAAAGGACTCTGCCTGCTCCTAGTATCAATTCACACACAGCTGCATAAAAACTCCTGAGGTTGCACTGGCCCAGAAAAGACCAGGCCTGCCGTGTGAATGTTATTAGGTCTAGATCTACTAGATCTTTGCTTGGTTAAACTGCTTAGACAGGACCTGAAATAAACCTGGTTTGTTTATTCCTGGCACACACACACACACACACACTTCTGTGCCAACGCCCCAGTTTTGCCTGCTCTGGATTCACACCAACAGCAGCTGGTACGAGGTCCCCTCGCAGTATCCCAGGGCTGGAGCCAAACGGTCCGAGAGGGCTGTGCAGGGGCTCTTGTGCCCCCCCTTCGCAGGAACCCCCCCCCAACCCCAGCCCTGCCCAGGAAGGGAGACCAGGGTGCTTCTGTGACGGAGGCCCAGCAGAAGCCATTTCCGTTCCCAGGACAGGACCGGAAACAGCTCTTTGGGGCCTCCTGCAACGCCCCACCCGGGCACAAGTCCGGCCGTTGCAAATCTGAAGTCCAGCCCTTGGCCTTGTTCCAGGCTGCTGCTCCGCTGGAGGGAAGAAGGGGCGAGAGGAGCGCGCAGGGCACGGGTGCCTTGGCACAAGGAGCGCAGATCTGGAACCCTTGCAATCCTAACTGCCCAGAAGGACACGAGCCCCCCCATTCCTTCAGCTGTTTGAAGCAGAGGGAGGGTCTGCTGGCAGCCCACCCACCAGCCCGTTGCCCTGCAGACCCAGGCGGGCCACACCTGCTTCCTGCCCCCCCCCCAATCCTCTGAACGGGATAGGAATACTCGGCTTTTCTGCTGCAGAAAGGAAGAGCCAGAGGCTGGATCTGGCCATGCGCCATTTGGAATCATGTTTCTGGAAGCTCCCAAGCCTGGAGGGAAGGACGGCCAGCTGCCTGCCCCACTGGGTCCTGCAGCAGCTGGGGTTCGCGGGACCCGGGCTGCAGTGCCCAGCCTGGCGCCCACCAGGAGCCTTGCCCAGCTCTCTTTTAAAACAGCCCAAACTGGTAGCAGCCCTACCCTAGTCCTCCGTCCCCTGGAGTCTCCGTGCCCCCCCCCCGTGCTGAGATGGCCCTGACTGGTCACGTCAGACACCCCCTCCTACTGGAGCCACCATCTCCGGCCAGGGTGATCCGGCCCCAAAGCAGCCCAGGGAGGGAGGGAGGGAGGGACGAGCCCCCTTTTGGACTAACTGCTCAATTTGCAAGGAGAGGAGACAGGCAATATTTGCAGGGCCCAGACTGTCCCCTGCTGTGGGACTCTATCTGCAAAGAGAGGGGGGGGGAGGAGAAAGAGAAAGACAGAGAGAGAGAGAGAGAGAGAGAGAAAGAGAGAAAGAGAGAAAGGAGAAAAAGAAAGAGAAAGGGAGGGAGAGAGAGAGAAAGAGAAAGAGAGGAAAACAGAGAAAGAGAAAGGGAGAGACAGAGAGAGTGAAAGAGAAAAAGAAAAAGGGAGGGAGGGAGGGAGGGAGAGAGAGAGAGAATCCCTGGCATGCCATTTTCTCAACCTGGCCTCCCTCAAAAGGCTGGTACAGATCATCCTCAAATTACAATTGTAACGGTCAAAAAAGACATGACAGTCATAAAGCAGGTTGGTCATGTGACCGATTCAATTGTATGACCCGTTCTGCAGTGCCCAAAAGTACGGTCATATAACCGTGGTGGGGAGGACCCAACTTTGAATTTGGGTCATAAATAACCCCCAAGGAGGTCCATCGGAACTTTGAGGAGCCGCCAAGCAATCGGTCATAAGTTGAGGACTCTCTGAATGAGGTGCAAAGGCTTTACCTACAAAGATGCAGAAGCAGCCCGGATGGCATTTTTCAGGCTGAATGAGGATTCTTCCTGTTTCTACACCCCCGTCACCCCCTCAGCTTAATCCAGCTCTCCCAAAGAGGATGCCCTCTAGAAATGGACACAAGGCCCATGATCTCCAACTGAAGAGCCTCACTACGTAAGGCAGCCTTGGATCATCCCCGGTTGAGGGTTTTTCGGACCGGCCGGTGTGGAAAAAGAAAGAGCCCCATCTTGGCCACCTACCTTGCCTTGGACCTTGGGGGGGTCCCAGCCGTGGCCATCCAGAGAAGGAGGGACCTGGTAGATGTCCTGCCCCAGGCCGGAGGGGGCTGGAGGGACCTGGTAAATGTCCTGGGATGGGCAGGCCGGCCCGACTGGCACCTGATAAACTTCCTGGGCTTGAGAAGGATTTGGCTTGGGGTAGGCGGGAATATGTTTGCTGGCAGGAGACTGGAAGGGCCCCGGGGTCTTGTTGGGCGCTGGCACCAAGTAGACATTGTCCTCTTGGGGAAGGTAGGAGGGGTGCATGGGGGCGTATTGAGAGGCAGGGGAGAGCGGAGTATAGCCCCCTTGCTGGGAGAAGGCAAGTGGGGTCTGTCCGGCGGGCTGTGGCAGCGAAGGCTGGGGGGAGCCCTGGACGGGCCCCGGGAACTGCTTCTTGTCGTACATCCCCACCAGGATCTTGAGGCGGTTGCCTGGCACGATGCCCTGCCGCCCGTGCAGGGAGCAGAGCCACCAGCCATCCAGGCCTTGCGTGTTGCGCTCCAGCACCGTCATGATGTCCCCCTTGCGGAAGGAGAGCTCGTCCGGGGACTCGGCCACGTTGTCGTACAGCGCCTTGGCCAGCACGTTCTGCAAGAGAGGCAGAGCAAAGGGTCTCGCATCAGGCCAGGATCCATTCAACTAGCCCAGTTGGTGGAATGTGCCCAACACACAGGGCCTGCACCTCCATTTGCAGATCATAAGGGTTAAGGCGGGTAGGCCCATCACTCTAAGCCACAAACCAACCAACCAATCCCATGAGCAAGAAACATACTAACTATGGTTTCTGGAACAAGCCACTGCAGCCCAGTACAACAACGTGCTAAACCAGAAAACTTAACTAATTAGAACCAGTTGTGTTTTGCACACTGAAGTAAGTCCAAATCAACCAAGCAAGCACGCTAGAGCAGGGGACTCCAACCTGGGCAACTTCAAGACTTGTGGACTTCAACTCCCAGAATTCCCCAGCCAGAGCATGTAAGTCCCATTTTCAGGGCCTGTCATAACTTCAAACGGTCGCTAAGCAACCAATCATAAGTCGAGGACTATCTGAATCCCGGGTCACACCAGCAGCCCTCCAGAAAGCCTGTGAGATGGCTAGGAACGCAAGAAAGTAGGAGAAAGCTGCTAGCATAGTCCCAATTGCCCCTCTTCCACATAAAATAGGCTTTTCCCCGTTTTTTCCAAACGTGATGAAATTTATGCAGTCCTGAAGACAATTCGCTGCATGGGAATAATCAGGACTTCATTTTTTACTGCTTTCAGTTTCAAGTATAAATCCAGATTCTGCCCAAGAAAAGTTCAGGGTCATTGCTGCTTCCTTCCTCCCTCCCAGTTTGTTTTTTTCTCATCTATTCTCCGGGAAGACAAAATCTCCCTAAAGCAACAGACTGTGTTGTGTTCCCCCTTTTTAAAATAATAACAATAATAAAAGCCTTTGGAAATCCCACAAAAGCACCAAGTCAATCTTTGTTTTTATTCTTCTTAGGGAAAAAAAAAAACACCCCAGTCCTTCTTTTCCTTTGGACTAAACCAGGGGTAGGCAACCTTGGCTCTTTTATGACTCGTGGACTTCAACTCCCAGCATAGCTGGCTTAGGAGTTTTGGGACTTGAAGTCCACAAGTCATAAAAGAGCCAAGGTTGCCTACCCCTGGACTAAACTAAAGCTTTGGACAGACTGAGCTTCCTCTTAAGCCTAAAAGACTCCAAGTGCTTTGTTAGTTGCGTGAATTCGGCCCCTTTAAGGTTGAAGACTGCCTCTTGCCAGCCCAGAAAATAAGTCAGTTTAGTAAGCCGTGTTACAGCCCTGTTAAAATTCCGATCCACAGTTCATTTTCCTTGCGAATAATTTCGCATTCTCGAATTACAAGGCTGGCTGATTGTGCAAATGCAACCTTCGTGTTCTTTTTTTTCTCTTTTTTCTTTAAAGTGCAAAGGACGTGCACAATATGCTATAGATTATGCCATCCCCAGGCAAAGCGGTGGTCTGCCGTTGGGGGCAAGAGGGCAGCTGATCTTGTCCTCCTCTGCTGAGGGGTGGGCGGCTCTCCCCCCCTCATCCTTTTCCCAGGCAGGAAGTGCCAGAGTCATGACTAATGACAGATTTCCCTTTGTGCCTCCAGCAGAAGAGGTTGCGATGGAAAGCTCACTTCCCAGGGCAAACATCTCTGAAGGAAGGGGGGGGGGGGGAGACCTCAATGCCTCCGGATCAGCCCTTCCACCTTTTATAAGGGTTCTGGGGCCTCAGCTGCTCCCGGTCACAGACCAGGCAAATCTTGAATAGACTCGACCTCTTGGCAAGGGTTCCACTTCCCGGTTTGGCTGCCAGGGCACAAAACAGACTTGCAAATCCTGACCGTTCTCATGCAACTCCTTTGCATGGATTGTTCCATGGAGAAATCGAGATTTAATCCTTTAGCCAGGGGCCGCTGGCAAGTTTGAGAGAACAGCTCCGTCCCCAAGACTCCTCTGCTCCAGATGATAGATCTGCCGGTTCAGTATCCTTCTCCTCCCAGGAGACCAGGGGTACCTTTTCTTCCAACAGGAATGCTTCATTTACAATGTTTGGCCAGAAGAAAATGTCCTGGAGAAAACTCCAAAGACAGAAGTAGGAAGGCAGTTTATGCACTGGGCCTGCAAGGCCAACTTTAAGCATCGCAACTCAGGCAAACAGATTGTGGGGTTTCCTATGTCCAGTGCCAAGAGGCTGCAGGTCACTCTTTCGCATAGGGGAGATGGGAATGGTAGTCCCATGGAAGGCACCAGGCCAGCGAAGGTAACCGAGATGCTCAGACTGATCTGGTCCCTCCAAGCATCAGGAAAAACGAAGATTCTCTCTTCCCTCATCTCCACCCCTTTCCACCAGCAGGCTAAGACAATGTTTCTCAAACCAAAAGTGCTTTTTCAAACAGCAACTGGTCTTTGTTGTTCTTTGAAGACATTTCTCTTCTCATCCAAGAAGAAGCTGAAGAAGCTTCTGAAGAAGCTTCTTTCAAGAAGTGAAACGTCTTCAAGGAAAAACAAAGACCAGTTGCCTTTTGAAAAAGCGCTTTTGGGACAACCCTCACCTGGATGAATGAGAATCTCCACAGATAAGGTTTCTCAGTCTCAGCAACATTAAATGGGATGGGCTTCAACTCCCAGAATTCCTTAGCTTGCATGGGATTCTGGGAGATGGTCCATATGCTGGCTAGAGAATTTTCAGAGTCAGCCCAACCCTTCTGGCTGGGAAATTCTGGCACTTGAAGTCCACTCATCTTTAAGGAAACACTGGGCTAAAAGACCGTTTCCTTTCCACCTCTGAGCTACTCCACACGCTGCTTTTTTGTATATGAAGCTGCGGTGGACTTCAGGATGCTCAGCCGAGATTGGGAAGACAATCCCACGGTTTCTACAAATCTGATGCTGGCTTTCAAGAATGCAAAGCATTTCCCAGGCTGGCCCCCGACTGTAGCCGAAGAGTCCCAAGGCTGAAAGTAAATGGAGATGGGAAGCTAGAATATTGCATACGATTTCCCTGTGGGAAAGCAAGATGGAAATGCAGAGGCTTTCAATGTTAGCAGGAGTAGAAGAATAGGAAGAGGAAGAGCTTCGTGGCTGAACTATTCAGATCTGAGGGCCTGATTGTGTGCATAAATATCTGATTCTGCCTATGTAAAAGACTGGCCCTTTGGCAAACAGCTGTCTTTAATCATATACAGAATACAGAAAAAATTAAGTTGCAGTTATAATTATGGAACAGAGCAACAAAAATGTGTATTTCTCAGTTAATCTGAGATGTAAGGGGTACCTTTCTCTGGAGGCTTTGAAGAACCATCCACCTTGATTTGAATAGTTTTCCTGCACATTTATTTTATATTTTATTAATTGGGGATGATGATCCCGGTTCTCCCCCTCCCCCAAGACCAGAATGTTCTGGCCTCTCTAGCCTGGCAAGCTTTGCAAGAATTGTACAACAATTTCCATCATCCCCAACTTGCAGATAGGTCACCAAATCTTCTATTGCAAATCTGGATGAAAAGAGAACTGCTAAGGGTGCCTCTTCCTTCTCTAAAGAGACCCCATTCAAAATGAGTTCTATTTTATTTATTAATTGGGGATGATGATCCTGGTTCTCCCTCCCAAGATCAGAATGTTAGGGTTCTAGGCATCTAAGCATCTCTCTCTAGCTAGAAGTTCTCCCTCCCAAGACCATGACGGTTTTGATCCTACCTCCCACACCCTGGTCGTTTACTTAAAAAGTCAGCTGAGGACTTAGAAATTAAGCACGCTGTCACTGAGTAAACCACATAAGCAGGGACAAGTATTAGCAAGAGCCAAGCTCAACTTCACCTTCATCGGTTAATCCCCAAAGAATGGCCAAATAATAACAGAAAGAAACAAACCCTGACTTGTTCGCAGAATTATCGGGTACTTAAGACAATGGTACCATGCAAGTTAACAAATTATCATAGAAGACACACTGGTAAGTATTTATCTTTTGCTATGCAAGGCCCTTGTGATAGTATCCTATTTGTTACTCATTAAAATTACAGGGTCAGGAACTGATTGTTTGTTTATTTAGCTTAGATGCCTCCGAGCTTTTCATCCATTAGGGAAGGGATATTCTCTCTCCTTCTAAATGCACTGCTAATTTATTAATTTAAACAAATACCCCCACACACACGGTTGCATGACGCCCTCCGACTGGCTAAAAGGCCAGAGACAGACCTACTTCTCTGGGCACTTGCAGCTGGGCATCCTGTTTAGACTACAAGAACAGATCAAGATGTAGCTGGTAGAAAAAAAATATTTTCAAAAAACAGAATGTAAGAAAACAAGGGCGAGATATGCCCAGTCATCCAGCTTTTGGCTGGGCCCAGAGAAGACTCGTTTCCAAAGAGGTTTTTCACGTTTCAAAGGAGAATCCCAGGAATGTGCAAAGAGAAAAAAAACAGAGCTAATCTTTTGTTCGGAAACAGGAGAGAGTTTTGGCAGATGACCAAGGCAGCTGAGTTCCTGCCACCCTCCAGAAATTCTCCTTTGCTAAGGCATGCTGGCTGGGGAATTCTGGGAGTTGAAGTCCACGAGTCATAAAAGAGCCAAGTTCTAGACTTACAACCATTTGTTTAGTGACTCTTTGGAGCTACAACAGCACTGAAACAAGTGACTTGTGACCGCTGTTCACACTTGATTTTTCTCCCAGGGACAGAGCACTTTGCTTCACCTTTCATCCAGTCCCCAAACTGCGGGATAATTGATGTGGCTTAAGAAACAAGCACATGCCTGCTGCTCATGCACGACAAAACAACCCATGTTCTCAGGAATCCGATTACAACACAGCCCTCATTGCTCACGCAAAGGCTTGCTATCAGTCATGGGGGGGGGGAAGGAATGCTACGAGAGCGAAGTGAGTCACTTGCATAAAATCCATTTCAACAGGATCTGAATTTCCTGTTGGGTTGTCGGCTCCTAAATCACCCTCCTCCTTCGGGAGACTTTTGACACAGTGGCATGTTTGTATGTGTGGGGGTGTAAGCTCTCCAGAGCAAAGAGGCAAGCAAGGAAGCCTTGCAGGGGGGTTGGGAGGGGCCATCTTGAACAGGGGTGG